TCCGAGGCCGGTAGTCCCCCCCGCCGCCTACCCAGCCCGTTCTCGGAGACCTAGGTGTCCGAGAAAGGGCTGGGTAGGCGGCACAAGGAGGCTTTAAGCGGCGGGGACAGGCTGGGGGGGTGGATCGGGAAGCTTGAAGCCTCCCAGCGCTGCTTACCCAGGTCGTTCCCGGACTTCCAGAAGTCCGGGAACGACCTGGGTAGGCGGCACGGAGAGGCTTCAAGCTCCCCGATCCACCCCCCAGCCTGTCCCCGCCGCTTAAAGGGTAACCGCAGCGGCTACCCCAGCCATGGCCGGACTCTAGGGAGTCCAGCCATGGCTGAGGTAGCCACCATGGGTCAGATCCAAGCCGCGGGGGGAGGGAAAAAACCGGATAATCCATTCCAATTGGAACGGATTAACCGGTTTTCAATGCATTCCTATGGGAAATGGTGCTTCACATAACAATGTTTTCACATAACGTTTTTTTTTCTGGAACCAATTAACATCGTTATGCGAGGCACCACTGTATCTATTTTGCAATGCTGTTGCTCGTGTCTTTCATGAATGCTCAGTTGTAAGTGGTTGTTTTCCCCTTTTGAAAGGCCATTTTGAGGATCAATATTTCAGCCTCTGCAATCCGGATTATTTCCAAATCAAAAGCAAGTTGGTGGGACCAGCCATTATTTTTCAAAATAAGCAAAACTGGTATTTTCAATTTGTATGAGATATTTTAAATCTGGGTATGTTAAGGTTGTTTGTTTCTGCAAGGTGTGGGGAAGCAGTTTTATTATTTTTTTTAAGTCTTAACTAGAGCTGGGCACAAACTGCCAAACCAGTGGTTTCTCCTGGTTTGTTCTTCGCTGGGCACAAACTGCCAAACCAGTGGTTTGTCCTGGTTTGTTCTTTAGCTGGACAAGTTTTGGTGCTTACCAGCCCCATCTCCTCTTGTGAGTGCCCACTCAGAAGTAGTACTCCAACTTCCCTGCCCTGCCTCCTCTGGGTGTTACCTCTGAGTGGGCACCTATTAGAGGAGGTAGGGCTGGGAAGCATCTAGTACCCCTTTAGCCGAAAAATGAACCAGCACAAATAGCAGGTTCGGCAGTTCATGTCAATCTCTAATCATAACTCAACAATCCTTTGCTCAAACTTCCACAAATTTGGCACAGAGCAAGAACAAACTGTTACATTGTGTCAAATTTGGTGCTGATCTGAAGTTCAGTTTCAAGGCTATAATTTTTTTGTTTGGGGTGCCCTCATTTTTACAATTGCCTTGTACCAGGGGTCTCAAACTCAATTTACCTGGGGGCCGCTGGAGGCAGAGTCTGGGTGAGACTGAGCTGCATCAGATTTTCCGCCAAGCGGAGCAAGAGCCCGAGAAAGCCACCCAGGAGTTTCCTTAGCCCAGCTGGTGCTCTGATGATGATGATGATGAGGTCAGCCACGACTCACTCCAGCTCCTTCTTCACTACCACCAGCAGCAGCAGCAGCAGGACAAAGAAGCGGAAAAACCCTCACAGAATTTGCCTTGCCAAAGAAGAAAAGCCCCCGCCAGTACCCACGAAATTAAATAGAACAGGGCGGGACCCACCACAGATGCGCACGCACACAAACACACACGGAGGTCCGGCAACCTTCCTCTGAGGCCCACCCTCAAAGAAAGGTACACTGAGCAGCAGCAGCTACCCCCACCACGACAGAGGAGCAAACTTTGTAAGGCGAGCCCAGGCAGCCTCCAGAGCCAAGGTGGCCGAAGCAGGACGAGGAGGAAGAAAAGGAGGAGGAAGCACTGCTGGGCATTGAGGTGGCCAGTGGCCAGGCTGGTGCTGGGGGTACCGAGAGAGAAAGAGAGCCAGAGAGGTGCTTCCCTGGAAGAGGTGGCGGCGGTGGCAGCTGCTGTTGGCGGTTCTGTTGGAGGCGCTCTTTGAGGACGGGCTGGGGGCAAGCTCCACTTTCAGGCATCACTCGGCGGCGGCTCAGGCGCTAGGAGAAAAGGGCTGGCAGCGTGCCTCGCTCGCCGGCTCTCCCCCAAAACAGGGTCTCTTGCACCGGGCTGGCTGGCAGGCTGCAGTTCCGGATGGAGGGTGCAAGAGGTGCTGTCTTGGGAGAGAGCCGGCGAGCGAGGCGAGGCTTTTTTTGACTCTTGACAGCAGAGGACATGTGGGCGCTTCAGGGGGGCAGGCAAGGCGGGGGCCACAAACTATCATCCAGCGGGCTGCAAATGGCCCCTGGGCTGCATGTTTGAGACCCCTGCCTTATACCATGTTGATTTGCTATGCTCCACAATAACACAGCTGCACTATCATGCAACTACAATTAAAGAAGTATGGATACTTAAGAAGTACATGTCTTGAAAGTTATAAAAAAATTGTGCATACTGTACATGCACATACATGATTTCTTAGAGAAAAAAAGCTGTTTTGTGCAGAGTTTAAAAACAAAAACAATGAAAAAAATGGGTTACTTAGATCAAAATGCACTAGTGCTTGGAGGGATGGATCTTCACTTCTGTTTATATAATAACCTTTTAGTAAGAGCAGACAGACAGCTCCATTGTAAAATACCCTGCAGGTCTTGCCACACCCTACAATATTCTGCCATCACTATGACAAGATCTGAAAAGAAAAGTGGTATATCTTTGGCTTAACATAGAAATGTCTAGCACATCTTCTTTATGAAATATGCCATCAGCACAATGTACTTTTTCATTAAAATTTTCACCAGCTGCTACTTTAAGTGTATGTATGGATTTTAAACTATTTATCACACAATTGCCCAGAATTACTAAGCATCTGAAGCCCATAACTCTTTAGTGCCTGCCAACATAAAAGAGCCTTCAATCCCAATTTGATGTTTGAAGATATTATTTTACAGATGCTGTATCTTTTACATTTTCCACATATTATTATTTATTCCTCTTTTACCTCCCTATGTCAAATCCAATATTCTTGAGTCCCTTGATGACTTTTGTGCACATGGAACCTTATATAGCAAGTACACAACAAGGATGGGCTTTGTGCCCAGAAGGTTGCAAATCATAAAGTCTGAGATAGGAAAGGGAAACTGAAGTAAAAGTAATCAGGGCAAAGTTTGTTCAGTTCAGTTAGACACAAATGTATAAGGAATGAGTACAAAGGAATGGAGCCGAAGACTGAACAAAAAGTTGGAT